ATCCAAAGAAATTAATATATTAAAGGGCTGCCTGCACTCCCATATTTATTGCAGCACTGTTCATAATAGCTAATTATGCAATTGGTACTGAATTTTTATGCCTCCTCAATGTCTGTGACTTATACAAGTTTAGTCTCAAAGCAGCACTTATTAATGACTTTGCCTAACTTATTGGTGCCAATCCCTGTGGAGCACTGGCTATTTCCAGTTAATATTTGTCACACTCTAATACCTCAAGTCATTCAGTCTCAGGTGTGAGATGGCTGGCAAAAGAAGCCTCTGAGGCACAGTCATCTTCCTTTTGCACAGAAAAGAGAATGGTATATAATGATGTTTAATTTCCTGCATCTTGTCCCAGGAGCTGTTCAGTCTTTTGGCAATCTAAGGAGAGAGGTGTAGATGTGCAGTCAAGGCTGGATTGGGGAGCATGAGAAAGGTATCATAACTACTGTGGTCTCAGAGTGGCTGGGGTTTTTGTTTGTTGATTTGAGAATAAACCTGCCACTCTGCTCTGAGTTTAGAGACGAGAGTATAAAAGCCCATCTGGCCTGAGATGCAATCATCAGGTCTTGGTGGTTTCTTCTATCTTACTTGAGCTCAAAGAAGATGAGACCTTAGTAAGAAAAAGTTGCACTTTCATGCTGAAATCAAATCTGCAGCAAAAGAATACCACTTGGGTATCCTCCTGAGGTCTGCCTGTCCTCAGAGCATTGAGTAAGTGGAAGGCTGTGCTATCTGCTTATTGTTATGTAGCTGAGGTCAGACACCAGTATCTTAACAGCTTCAGTTCCCAGATTTCCAATGTAAAAATCAGGAAGACTAGTTAGGTGCTTTCCAAGGAATATACTGTGAATAATAACTAAACATATGTCACTCTGACCTTTACAAACCTCTGCGCAGTTCCTCATTTGGTCCTCACTTGGCTATGAAGTAGAAATTATCCCAGTGGCACAGATGAATAAAACCAAGGCTCCAAGATTCTGAATGATTATTTTCAAAGCATTGTTGTGAATATCTTTTGGTTTGCAGCCTTCTACCAGTTTCATTATTATCATACATAGTCCTAGCTCTAAGATTCCACAATTCAGTGTTTCTCTTCTAGGTAGATTTCTTTTTTATTATAGCTGCAATAACCTGCCAGGTACTCCCTTGCCTTTGTGGCTTAATCCAATGTAACACAGATGAAAGCTTGTATTTGTGGTAGTCTTCTATGGGCACTAATATCCTAGATGTATGCTGCCACACTGTTCAGCACATTTTAAAAAACATAATATCTATGACATACTGTGGACACTTGATTCAGACCATGATACTGGTTCTTGACAATATACACCTATTTTCTGAAGCCTAGATTTTAATTCATTTTGAATATGAATGTTTGTTTGAAACTCCAGGATTTTTCAGGTAATATGAAACCAGATGTTAGACTCTTTAAACACCTGTGTTGTATATGATGTAATTTCAATAGCAATAAAATTGTATGAATACTTTAATATTTTTCTTTTTGAAAATAATATTCTATCATCTTCAAAACGTTGACCTAAGATTTACAGACAATGACCAATGTACACCAAATTAAGTTTATTCACCCATTTAAACCTTCCAATCTTGTAATTCTCAGAAGTGTCTAGGCCCCCTAAATTCTAATATCCTTGATTACTTGTGATTTGCTAGAATAAACTTGAGAATAAACCTTTTGTATTCTCCTTATTTCAAGAGTGACTGTTTTCTAATAAGAAGAGCAGTTAAACTCACTTTCCTAGCAATGGTAGGGGGAAGAAAGGCCTAAATGGGACTCTAAAGATCTTAATATGTCCATTTAAGGTTTTGTGCTTTCAGGATGTACCATGGCAGGTACTGATGCATAATAATTAGGCATCAGTAATTTGTAGACCCACTTTGCATTTGGCCAAGTTCAAATCTCCTAAGCTCTCAGATCCCAATATCACCTATAATAGCTGATCAGTACATCATGCATCATAATTTCTGCTAAATCCCTTTTGTGAGTTTTTTTAAAAAGTTTTTGAGCATCCTTCTGCATTGTTCAGCCACATGGAACACGTGACAATACCTCACTCTCCATTTATTTTTCTTTTTGTTCTTCCAAATGGATTATAAACACTGATGATCAGAAATTTGGAAAAGCATGCATATACTGTTTTCTATCCCACCTCAACTCCCAGGCCCCAGCCACCTCTGATTGTCAAGCATGTGGATCAGTCCTTTTCACTGAGTAATGAAGAAAACACATCAAAGGAAGATTTTCCTCTTTTAAAATGGTCATTCAGTTTTATTATGCCCAACTCTTGTTTTGAGATATTCCTCTTGACGTTCTTAAGATGTAAAAAACACTTCTTCCTTTGTTGATGTTCACACTATTTATATTTTCCTTCTTCAAACCCTCTTCTCATGGTATCTGAAGTTATTCAAATATACACAGAGTGACTCCTATGTACCCAGCAAAAATGCTGGGCCCTAAAAGTACAGTGATGAGCGAGGTTATTCAGTACCCACAGAGCAACACAGAACCTACAGAGCTTGGAATCTAGTGGAGAAACACAAAATGAAAACTGCTTACTGCCAGTGGGTAGAGGATGTGTATGAGCAATATGGGCATGTACCAGGAGTATACAGCGCTGCTTAGAGGTCTGGCCGGAGGGACAGAGATGCCCGTACAAGAAGGAATTACTCAAGAGGTGAGAAGATATTCTAGACAGAGAAAAAATGTGGAGAGAGACAGAGGGAGAAAAGGAAAAGGGAATGACAGTGGAAGGAGAGAAAAAGGGAGAGAAAGAGAAAAAGAAGATCGATTTGTTACAGCAGCTCAAAGGAATGCTACAGTGTTATCATGCAGTGTAGCAGAACTTTGGCATGGGTAAGAGACCAATTGAAATCTTAAACTGGGGAGTAACAAAATTAAATTTCTGTTTTAAAAGGCTCTCTTCCATGCCAGAGTGAAGAAATTTCTAAACTGGTCTTGAAGGAGGCTGGGATCCTGTAATCCAGGTGAAAGACAAGGGCTAGTGTCATATCTGTGGAATGGGAGGAGTATTTGAGAAGTATTTAGGTAATATTGGTATGACTTACAAATGATAGTAGCATAATGAGAGTGGACATGTGGCTTCTGATTTGGGCAAGTGAGAGAGGCTAGATAGCCCTTCTCCAAGATAGTGCAGACCAGAGAAAAGTAGGTCTGAGTGTGGAGGCCAACTTTACTGAAATGAATTTAGATACTGGATCTGAAGTGCCCAAGAGACATGTGAGTGTACCTATGTATGTGGAACTTGAGTGAAAGTTTGGATTGTACGTATACTGCAGATTTGTGAATCTTTTGGAACAGAGAGACAGTCACTGATGCTACAAATTGGGTGAGATAACAGAAATATGGGTCCAGCATGAAGCCTCTCCTCAGTCCATCTATCAGTTGGCAGAAGCCCTGAGTGAGGGGCAGTAATTCCAGCCCTTAAGAGAAGAGTTTATAGTAGAAGTTCCTAATCAGCTGTTGTGCTGAAAAGATGTTCCCTGAGAAACCACATACACAGACACACATACACACTGCTTCATGGTCAAATAAGTCCGGGAAAATATGAGTAGTATAAAAGGTGAAAGATTTATATGATCGGAAGAGAAACCAGAGTATAATATGCGTAGGATATTCCTTGCTTAGTGACTATAAAGTCTGCAGTAATGAACCTTTTGGGACTATCGTGTATCTCAGTGGCAGTGTTTGCTAGCATGTATGAGGCCCTGAGTTTGTTCTCTAGCACCTCAAACAAAACAAAACATCCGAACTTTTCATCTTGGTTTACCTCATTTTCCATTAGGAGCCACCTGTCATTATAGATTACATCAGAATCTGAATGTCACAAGATGAAGAAGAGGAAGAGAATCAACTGTCTCGGATGGATGCTTTCAAGTCAAGCACTGGAGAGAGTGTCATCCATCCATTCCTTTACCAAATAAAGAATTGATGCTCAGTGATTGGTTCTGAATTTCACAACTGGCTAGTAATATGTATGAGTTATTGCCAAATCCCTAGACCTTTTCAATCTAAGAAAAATTCCAGTAAATGCAATTCCAATAGTAAAGTTGAAATGAGAGACAAGTTTGTCAAAATCTCACTGTCATAATGTTTCCCAAATAACATTCTCTGTAATTTTGATTTTTGGCACTAGTTTTGCCAGTTCTTAAATGCACATCTTGGGAAAATTGTCTAACCTCTTTGAGCCTCTGTTTTCTCATCTACAAGTGAAGATATTGCAGTAATTAGTAGAATTATTAGTAGATGTTACTATTAATAAACTGAGGCTGAGAGGTTGAGATTTGCTGAAGATTTCACAGCTAGTAGAGATAAAGCGAGGACTGAAACCCAGATCTTTGTGCTCTCAATCTGGTGATCCCTCTACTAACCAAATAATTTCTACTGGGGCACCTTGAATCATGTCTTGGGGACCATCCCTGACAATACCCACACATAAGGACAAACTTGCTTTAGAGACAGAGACATCTGAAAGTGGTGTTCAATCTTAGAGATCACATGAAGTCCAATGGAGAGTGTTTGGGGAGAGAGCAGAGTATGTTTAAAAAGGTGTTTCTAAGCCTCTGTCCTAGAAAACATATAAATATTGATTCAGTATTTTCCTTCAGTGTCAGTCTACTGGAACAGGAAATTTTCATGGTGAGGCGAAGAATACCTACTCTTGAACAGATCCACAGGTAATTCTGAGATGCCACCTTGGTTGAAAATCACCATACTCTAGACAAAAGTCATCACCCAAATTACTCCACAACCTACCCAGGCTCTCAGATTAGTGCCTGAACCAATTTAGTCTTCAAGTCCTCTTTGTTTCACATATAGTTTAGGGTGGGCTATTGGAGGAAACTTCTAAAAAGCTAGGGGGATGGGTTGAATCTCTGAGGCTAAGAAGGTAGTCTCAGCCTCACTTCCTCCATCTTCTCATCTGGCTTCCGGTCGTCACAGTACAATCACATTTTTTTTCCTTTACTTCTCCTTTTACACAAATAGCCTGGACATCTGTGTTACCAGTCTTGTGGTAGCCACTTCATAGATAAACACCAAATCCTGCCTGAAGGACTGAGGCAAAGTGCCTGTAAAAGGTAAGAATGATGATTTTTTTTAACCTCGTTTGAGTGCAGAGCTCTGAATGACTCTATGGAGGGTAGGGTATCTTCTTAAAAGTCTCCATATGCCTGTAGTAACTTTATAATCTCTTGTTTCAAAACTATTTAGTGTTGCAAGTAAAAAAGATCAACAATATCTTAGTGATATCCTAATAGTCAATCAAATCAGAAATATTTTTACTTAACCAGTTTCCTATTATCTGATATCTCCTTGGGTCTAGCAATTTAAATGCTTAAATTACTACAGAATGTGAATTACTAACTGTATATGGTAATTTCTGGAATTTGGAGTTTTCTGTGTGAGGTGAAGTTGGGGAGATTTCCTATGTGCTTTTGTCATTAGAGAATTTGTCTTGTGATTTTTAAAGTGGGAAGAAAACTCAGAGTCAGAGCCATTGAGAAAAGTGGCTGGGAGATGAAGATCTCTCCCATTTGAGAAATTTTCAAAAGTAAAGAGCCACTATATGGAAGGATGGCTAAAAATCATAACACAAGAGATGTACTGTAAGAAGTGAAGGCTAGCCGGGTGTGGTGGCCCACGCCTGTAATCCCAGCACTCAGGAGGCTGAGGCAGGAGGATCGCTGTGAGTTTGAGACCAGCCTGGACTATATAGTGAGTTCCAGGTCAGTCTCAACTACATATTGACCCTGTCTCAAATAAACAAAACCAAAAAAAAATTAAAAAAAATAAAAAAGTGAAGGCTAAATGTTACTAAGAATACTCAGTGTGTTGGCTTTCAAAAAGCAGAAAGAATATTGTGATCTGCAGGGCTTCCCCAAATTAACTTATCCTTGGTATACAAACATGAATATTGATAAATATAATATGAAATGTACTTATGAAAATCAACCTACATATCTTGACATAACAATAATTTCCTTTTCATGTGCCAAAGCTAATAAATTTCAAGGACTCAACAAAGTGGTAGCCAAGTTTTGGTACTGACTTTTGGTGACCACCATAGTAATTGCTGTTCACTACAGCAAAATTTATATCAGATCTTTCCTCTTCCAAGATCTATAAAACTCTCATATGATTATGTCCTAGAATAGAGAAAAGTCCTCTGTGACCTTGTCCACCCACCTAGAAATGACAGGTGGAGATTTGGCAGAGGGTTTTAGATTCTCAAAGCATGTCAGGGACTATTGAGCTTTGAATTTGGAAATAAAGACCAGACTTTTAATATATTCACTTATTAATCATCAGTCAACTACCTTCTCTGGCCAGGAGGCCAGGACTGTGTTTTGGAAAGTCCTGGTTTGAGAAGGGTTGAGGTAGAAAAGAAATTTTTGCCCAGCAATAGTCTTGGCCCTAAAGAACTCCCATGGGAGATAAGAAATGTCTTACTTATAAGTTCTTTGGAAGAAAGTTGAGCCAAGAACGAACCTTTGCCTCTGTACGAAAAAAGTTTTGCTTTCTCAATCTTAAGTGGAATATACGCTGTTTTGAAACTGTGGTTGAATGGGAGCAGAGGCTAAACTGAAACATGATTTCCGGAGATATTTCCTGTGTGGGCTGGTTAAGAATATTTAGCTTTTAAATGGAGCATTGGGGGCTTTTATAAACACAGAAACTTATTCAAAGACCATCCCTTCGTAGCTTTTGTCACCATTACTTAAATGACCTGACTTTTTTCCATCAAGAAGAGGCACAAAATAGAAAGGAAAAACTCTGTTGGTCTATAGCTTCTCGTGCCCTCTGGTTAATGCCTGACTGCCCAGAGGCCCTCGGATTCCTATTTTCCTTCCTCATCCTTTCCTATCTTGCAACTTACCAGTGACAGATATTGTGCTCAATTCTAGAGACACAAAGATAACTGGTGTCGTGGTTATCAGTATCCAAGTATCTCTCATGGAGAACAGTCATAGCAATACACAAATATAACCCAATATGCTCTTTTATATAAGGACAGGAGAATGTGACAAAATGGAGGAGTTTAGATGTGTGAAAGACTCCATGGAAGAGGGAGTGGCTGCTTGAGTTCCATTTCAAAAGAAAATGACAGAGTGCTATGTATGCAAAGTTAAAGAAGTATAAACCCCCAGGCATGTTGGAAATGACAATAAGCATGAGGAACTGCACCCTTTCTCTTACATGGCCCTTGAAAATGGATGGCAAAATCACTGAGTAGACAGGTCTTGGTCTATCCCTGAGCAGATGTCCACATTACAGTAATGATGGGAGGTGCCTTTCAATGAGGCAGATTTCTTTCTTTTAACGAAAATTTTCCCTTATATCAGAAAGGAAGGGTGGAGCTTTTGTGAGGTTACAACTCTCTTTTTCTCAACTTCCGTTCTAGCAACTTCTGTGTTGATTTAGTTACAGTGGTTTTGTTTGTGTTCTTAGTCAGCCGACATACACCCTGCAAGCATCCACTTTGTGAAGATTATTGTGGGCCTATGAGTTGGGCAACTGCCTTGAGTAGCTCTCAGTATCAGCTGCTACTGCAGGTGCAGAATGCTGGAGCGAAGTAACCCAAAGAAACCAGACAGGTGTGCAGGGCTGGCTTCCATGTGGCTGCTGGGGCAGAGGAGAAGAGGATTGCTGCTGAAAGTTGGGAGATTGGTTTGGGAAGTCAGTCTGGAAGTAGGTTTTAGAAAAGGAGAAGGTGTGCATTTCTAAAGTCTGTGGCTGGGCACTCAGAGTGGAGACTATGAATGTATAGGGTGCCTTCTCTATTGCTTTTCTAGTTCACAAGGAGATAGTAGAGTTCCTAGCCAAGTAGCACCATCGATAAATGATAGCTATGGCCAAGAACTGCCAAAAAGAGATGTCTATAATCATTTAAAATGAGAGATCTTTTACAAATGGGAAGAAGAAAGAGAAATGGAGGGAGAGGGAAGGGAAGGAAGGGGAAGCAGATTGAAAAAAGAGAGAATTGCCGGGGATTTAGCTCAGCGGTTCGGTGGCCTGCCTTGCAAGGGCAAGGATCCAAGTTCAATTCCCGGTACCAAAAAAAAAAAAAAAAAAAAAAAAAAAAAAAAAAAAAAAAAAAAAATCCCAGAAAAAAAAAAAAAAAAAAAAAAGAAAAGAAAAAAGAAAAAGAGAGAAGTGAAGAAAGAATTGAAATTGAAATAGAGTTTTCTTCAAATGGGAAGGGGAACAAGAGTTGGAGCAAGTATAGAGAGGAATGGAAGGGGAAGAGGACAAAAAAATTAAAATGCGTTATGTACATGTACAAACTTCCCATGGTAAATATAATCATTATATATTGCACATATGTACTACAAAAATAAGATTAAATTAAAAATAATAAAATGAGAGTGTTATATTCTAAGTATTAGAATGTAGGTGCCTGGAAGGAATTTAGAATTGATTAACTTCAAAAAAGTAACTTATAGTGAGAGCCCAATAAATGTTGGCTATTATAATGTTCTAACCTATTTATATTCAGTTGGAGTGACTTGTCCAAAATTATAAAGTTATTTAACTAGTTATTTAAAATATCTCCTGACTTGTTGTGGAATATTATTTTTTCCACATTACACTATGCTACACTGTCCTCCCTTTTCTTATTCTAAGTAGGCATTGCTAGAATATGCTCCTTCTTTAAATAAAGGAAATTTTAGCGCATTTAATATAACACAACATAAAATATGTAATTGCAAATGCAGCTGATTTGAAACCAATATGCTAATGAATCAGATAATTAATAAATATTTATCAAACTTTTTTAAATTTTTTATTTCAAAAGAATTAGGTTGAAGAATAAGGGTAACAAGTGATTTTTCAAGTTTATTGGTACATTTTATTTATTAATTTATTATTTATTGGTACCAGGGATTGAACTCAGGACCTTGCACTTGTGAGGCAGGTGGCAGAACCACTGAGCTAAATTCCCTGCCCTATTGGTACATTTTAGATCTACATAATGATCACATTCATCATAGGGAATTGGTTCCTGTACGTGATATATCGTAATTCTTCTTTTTTGCCCCCATTCCCCTACCCTCCCGTCAACCTCTCTTCCCCTCCTTATTTATATAAGCTTTGCTTCCATTTTTCCTTCTTTTCTCATTTTTGTCTTTTCCCTGCCTCATATTTTTAAAATGTTGTCCAAGAAATACAAACATGACTTTAATACTCAAGTTATACTAGAAACAAGTAGGGGCATTAAAATTATTTCATGATTCTTTTTTTTTTTTTTTTTGAGATGGAGTCTCACTGTATAATTCAGAATGGCTTCAAACTCACAGCAATTCTCCTGCCTCAGTCTCCCAAGTGCTAGAATTACAGGCATGTACCACCACATCCAGCCAGGGTTCATTTTTATAGAAATAGTTCTTACATTATCTCAGTATTTATATCATTAAGAACCTAAATTTTAATAATTTTGGAATCAGACTACCTAAGGTCATTTTGCTAATTTTCAATATTTTTGTTGGTGTTTTTATTTTTTATTTTGACAAATATTTAGACTTACAGAAAAGTTTAAAAAAAGAAAAGAAAATAGTATGAGGAATTTCTAAATCCCCAGAACCAGCTAAAGTGACACCCATATTTCCCAAATATTATCATTTTATCACATTTGCTTTATCCTTCCCTGGTTTTCTCACTGGAGAGTAATTGCTAACATGATGTCCTTTTTCAGCACTACAGTGCTCTAGTGCCTGCATCTATACAAACAAAAGAAAATTATCTTATATTACCACTTTACAGTGATGTAAATCAGGAAACAACACTGATAAAATACTATTTATGATATATAAATTTTATTCATGTTCCACCCTTACCCCATTAATATTATTTACAGTAAAAGGCACTCTCTGGTCATGCATTGCCATTAACTGCCATGTCTCTTCATTCTTTTAGTCTGAACAGTTCTAGAATCTTTATGTTTCATATCATTGATATTCTTGAAGAGAAAAGACCAGTTATTTTATGTAAGTCTCCCTCTTTGGGTTTTTCTGATCTTTTCTCATGATCAGATTCAGGTTAATCAAGCTGTTGAAAACATTAACAAAGAAACAGCTTT